CATATGATCCTGTCACTAGTTGGAGAAAAAGTATTGGACTAAATTCTACAGCTGTTCATGGAAAAAGCTATCAGGACACTAGAAGTAGAACAGAAACTTCTCAACAGATCAAAGACATACTCCATACTTCCAGCGAGAGCGCCTTCTATGAATGGAGAAGATACAACAGCATCGGTGTCTTAAGCAGCCTCTTGTCTATTACCTTATCTGTCATGCTCTCCCAATCTGCATTTTCATCAAAGTTTTGAGAAGCAGGAAGCAAACTACCACGATTAAAGAAGGCTTTGGAAGGATGACTCTGTGATGCAAGAGGCACCAGTATGAAAGTCACAAGTGGTAAAAATACAATGCACTGATCTGTTTTAATTAGGGGTATGGAAAGCGAAGCACCAGAGAGACTAAGAAAAGAACTCCTGTTGGACAGAAATTCCTGAGATGATGTGCATGTTCTGTATCTTTTGTGAGTGAGCATTTGAACTGCAGCTGAGTGTGAAAAAGAGTAGAATTTTTATTGTGTTTAATTATTAATTGAAATGGCCACATGTAGCTAGTGGTTACTATACCAGACAGTACAGCCGTGTAAGAAACAAAGTGTCAACAGTCCGTGGTTAGTCTCAGGATGATAAAGTATACACATGGTAAAAGTGGAGGAATATGTCCAGAACCATTTAGACAAAACAGTGGCTCTACATATACTCTACAGACAAGTCCCAGTAGCACTGGCCATCAAAACATTTAACAAACTGTGACTGAGGTTTTACTAGAGGAGCAAATGCTATTTTGAGGGTATTTTGGCAGGGAGTTGAGATAAGATCTAGTTCAGGCTGGCCTCGAACTCACATTGATCCTCATGACTCAGCTTCCCAGGTGCTGGATTACAGGCACACGCCACCATGCCCAGCCAGTGTTGTGTTACACATGAATGATGCTTTCAAGAAGAGCGTAAACCCTAGCTGAGTGTGGGGGTGCACATCTGTAATTCTGGCTACCTGAAAGGCTGAGGCAGATCACTAGTTGGAAGTCTGCATGGGCAACTTAACAAGACGCTGTCTCAAAATAAAATTTGTTATTAGTACATAATGATTACATTTATTGCGGAAAGTACGTACGCATACATGCCACGCCTGAATTGTTTTGTCCTCTTCCCCTCCCACTGCTGCCTATTCCCTCCAACTCTTGTTTCCCCTTCTATCTGAAAAAGCTCTATTTCCATTTTTTTCTTCAATTCTCTCTTTTAAAATTCCTTTTCCCTTCCTTCCCATCTTCCACCCCTTGGTTCCTCTTCCCATCTGAAAAAGATCTACCTCCTACCTCCTATTATCTATTCTTTATTTTATTCTTTATTTATATTTTGGGTTTCTCATATAAGAGAAGCCAGGCAATATTTAAACGTGTGTGTGTGATTTATTTCACTTAACATTATGGTCTCAAGGTGCACTCATTCCCCATGATTTGAATTTATTCTTCTTTTTTTTGAGTTTATTTTTCTTTATGGCAGAGGAATACTCCATGGTGTATAAATACTACTTTTTCTTTATCTATTCATCTGTGAATGGACATACAGGCTGCTTTCAAGATTTAGCTATTATTGTTATAAACATGGATATGCATGTATCCCTGTAATATGATGACAAATTCTTTTGGGAAGATACCTGGAAGGGGAATAGCTGGGTCAAGTGGAATTTCTAGTTTTAATTTTTTGAGGAATCTCTATCCCGATATCCATAGTGCTTGTACTAGTTTACACTCCCACCAACAATGCAGAAGGGTTCCTTTTCCCCCCAGCAGCCATGCCAGCATTTATTTGATTTCTTATTGATGGAGATTCTCTCTGCAGTAAGATGAAATTTGAGTTTTAATTTGTATTTCTTAAATGGCCAGGAATGTTTTATGTTTTTTCATGTATTATTGGCCATCTGTACTTCTTTGGAGAAGTAACTATTCATTTTGGTTGCCCATTTTTTGATTGGGTCTTTTATTTTGGAAAGTCAAAATAAAAATTTGAAAGGGCTGCCCTGGGGATATAGCTTAGTGGAAGAGCACTTGCCTAGCATCCTACCGGGTGCAAGGCCCTGGGGTTCAATCCCCAGTACCACCACCAAAACAAAGAGGAACTTAAATGCTAAACTGGACTATAAATTAATGTTTAGTTAGACGTAAGTTTAATTTTCACCTGTTTTATTAACCAACTAGTAAGGTACTGTAGTCTCTATTTGCTATAAATTCTTCCTTAGTTAAAAAACTACTAACTTGGGCCGAGGATTTAGCTCAGTGGTTCTGGTGCCTGCCTCGCAAGCGCAAGGTCCCAAGTTCGATCCCCAGTACCAAAAAAAAAAAAAAAAATTACTACTTTGTTATTACATAGTACTTCCAAATTAACTTTTAACATTATGGACAATTATTTATTTAATAAGCATTCTTTTGTTATTGAACATTGTTTCCAATATTATTATTTTATATATAATGCAATGGGCAATAAGGTGGATAAATAAATGCTCATGAAGTGAAAGAAATAGAATGAAGAAAACTGGGCCCATGCTGCCTCTTTTATGCTCATTTTGTGTATAAACCTAACACTTTGGTTGACGTCTATACTAAACTGTGTTTAGTTCAAACTCTTTTATGAGACATGGAAGTCTTCAAACTTGAGTAAGGGCACATTACTACTAAAATTAGTAACCTGATTTTAAACATATGTATCACTCATTTTAAAAATGGAAGCAATCCTCACGTTGACTACTTTAAGAATTTTTAAGATATGTTTGTAGATAATCTGTTACAATTAAATTTAACTGTGAATGACAGAATTCAAAATAACAGTGCCTGATGGAAGATTTCTTACGTTAATCCTTAAAAATAGTTCTGATAAGGCAAAAAACAAAAACATGACAATGAATCTTACATTGGAACTTACTTTCTTTTTTATACAAGTAACTCATTTTTCCAAAACTTCCTAAATTTCTAAGCTCAACTCTTTGAATGTACAACATGCATTTTCTTTATTAATGTGCTGATTTACCTCTAGGAGTGGAAACAAGTTAGAAAAAGAAGATGCAATTGATCAAATACTAGAGAGTAACATCAAAACAACTGTTTTCTGAAGGTTAATACTACTGTTTTCAATTTAAGTGTGACAAAAAGTATTGACTTAGTTCTTTACAACCTTATATTTACCTACAATCAGCTAATAAAGTTACACAAAACTAAGAAATCATCACTTAGGTTTCTTGGTCTGGTGGTTTGAGCATAATGCATTTTCTCAATTCTAAAGAGTGCACACAGTAACTCAGTAACTATCAAGGGGAGTTAATTTAGCTTTGGGTAAGGGATTAAAACCAGAATCAGAACAAATGCTTTTAAAAGTTTTCATTATTGAAATTACCTAAACATTTTCTCTTAAAATTTTTTATATTAGGGGTCGGGGATTTAACTCAGTGGTTTCGCTGCCTGCTGCGCAAGCACAAGGACCCGAGTTTGATCCCCAGTACCAAAAACAAACAAAATTTCATATTAAACAAATACATATGTAAGCATACATAATTCTTTACATATGGAAAACAATCTTACATGTGTATTACTCAATATTTACTGGCTTCATTTGTTTGCAATCATCCTGTGATAGGAAAACCCTTTTCATACTCATCGGACAGGATTCTGCTTTTTGTCCTTCAGTTTTAGGCATAAAACACAACATATCTTTAGGCTATTCTTAACTATTCAATGCCAAGCAAACATTCCAAATAATACTGCAGAACAGGTTTACACAGAGACATGGGATTTATGACATAATAATCTAACAGGACAGTATTCTATAGTATTCTGAGATAAACGACAGTATTTTAACAGGGGTACTTTAAATTTGCATTTATAAGGTTAAGGAAAATCATCTACACAAATACTTTAAATCTCTACCAAAAAACTTTCATATCCCCTGTATCCTGCCACAAGCACAAGCTGCTTACCATTCATAGCTGTGGGAAACTGAGCCATCATGGTCCTGAATTTTCCTTGCTAGCTCTCAGCCATCTGCAACATAAAAACATGGTGTCATTAATAATACAATAAGGGCAGACCACAGCTTAGTGCACCCATTAAGCAGTAGGAATGTCTGTCCTCTTCGATTCACACCTCCAACACAAAAGAATGCAGAGCTTCTTGCTGCTGCTGAACAGGCAGAATGTGTCTGGGGAACAGTGGGAGATTCTGTTGGGAAACCATGTGAAAGAAAGAGACCAGTAAGTACAGGGTTAAGTACATAATCATGACAAAGAAAAGATCCACATACTTAACAGCCAATACTGAATATCGAAACCCTTGGCACAACCCAACACCGTTGGAGAAACTAGGAAAGAGGAAGGAGCGTCTGTTATGTCTAGGTAAGAATTTATCTCAGAGAAATCAACTGTATAACTCATATATATAAGAATAACATGGAAATTCTAATATTTTTTATTTTAAAAATCCCCAAACAAGAAAAATATCCAAAATAAATGTAACATAGTTGTTTAATTAAGCTGCACAGGTTTGTAAAATGGTCTAAGAAGGGGCAGGGATACACAGCTCAGGGTTACAGCACTCACCTAGTGTGCTCTAGACCCTGGGTTCAATCCCCAGTACCACAAAAAAGTAATTATTAAAATACATACATAATTATTAAAATAAATATATTTTAAAATACAACTAAGTGTGCTGGGCAAGCACTCTGCATTAGTAAAGGAAAGACCTTTGGAAATTAAAAGTTCTGGGTTCAAAGTTGCTCTGCTATATTTCTAGCAGTGATAATGGAAGTTATTTAGCCTTTTCAGGTCTCAGATTCTTTATCTGAAAAATATTTTCCAGACTGTTTTTAAAAAGTATTAAAGGCTATCTTTCCTCCAGTGAAGGTGTTTGGCTCCTTTATCGAAGATAAGATGGCTGAGTGTGTCTGGCGTTGTTTCTGCATCTTCTCATCTGTTCCACTGGTCCTCAAGTCTGTTTCTTTGCCAGTACCATGCTGTTTTTAT